AGCAAAAACCCTTGTTCCTTCCTATTATTGCTTATACTCTCTCTCCAACAAAATTAGAAATAAGGGCAAAATAGTTTCTGCTGGGTATTGAGGGGGAGGAGAGGGAGAGGGCGGAGTGGGTGGTAAGGGAGGGGTGGGGGCAGGGGAGAGAAATGACCCAAGCCTTGTATGCACATATGAATTTAAAAAATTTAGAAGAGAGGAATGGATGAAATGTGAGGGGGTTAGGGTCAGGAACAGGAAAGGAACTCACTTGGTTTGCTGACTGGCATCATTTTTAGTTGTGGGCTGTGTCTCTTCTGCCTTTGTCTGAGTGCCTGAGAGATAAAGGATAAGGTGATTCAGAACCCATTGGGAGGAAGTGAGGGAATTGGGGAGTACAGGGACTTTCTACTACCTGTGAGCTGTACTGTTGTGGTAGGATTATCTGCAGGCCTCGTAGAGTGAGGGAGCTCTGTCTTACCCCGGTGGTGTTTGTGTGGCTTCCTGGTGGGAGAGTCTTGTGGTGGAAGGGCCCCTGCCTGTAAGGAGTGGTGACGAGCCACATTCTTCTGAGTGCTTGAGGGAAGATGATGGTGGTTTGGAAAGATCTCAGAGCTGATTCTTGTCTCCTGGAAAGCAAGTGAGGGTTGCAAAAAAAAACACTGTTTAGAGCCTCTTAGAAGATTTCCTGGACAGTTGCAGAAAACAGATACCACGTTTCTTGTGGACTGACTGTATCCCTCTAAAATTCATATGTTGAAATCCTAACTTCCAATGTGATAGTATTAAGAGGTAGAGCCTTTGGGAAATAATTATGTCAAAGGTGGAGCCCTCATGAATGAGATTAGTGTCCTTGTAAGAAGAAACTCAAGAACTGGGAGAGGATGTGAATCAAGTGGTAGAGCACTTGCCTTGCAAGCATGAGGAGGCTCTGAGTACTCCTTATCCCAAGGAGAGAAGAGACATGAGAGAGCTTACAATGAGAAGAAGTTTATCCACACACCAGGAAAAGTGTCCTCACCAAACACTAGATCTGCTGGACCCTTGATCTTGGACTTCCAGCCTCCAGAATTGTGAGAAATAAAATTATACTGTTTAAGTTACCCTGACTATAGTAATTTGTTTTAGCAGTCCAAATAAAATGGTCTTAGACAATATTTCCAGCCCAGAAAACCAAAGTGATCCACTCAAGTCTTCAAAGCCACAAGGCAACCCCTGCTCTTGCTCTTCCTTGTCCTGGATGATAGAAACGGTTCTCCTCAGGCCAGGCAAATGGAGAGCTGGGCTTGCCCCCAATCGTTCTTACTGGAATTCTTTATTTTATTTTGGTCACTTCCACAGCTAGTGTAGGGAATGGATCACCTGCACTTAGATCCTGCCTTTTCTCTGTCTCAGTTTACTGTCTGTGCAGGGGGAGAGGTGTCTAGAGATGCTTCCATCAGTAACAGTTGTGGAACTGCTGAGGTTTTGTAAAGAGAAGGTAAAATAGGGATCATAGGAAGGGGTGGAATAGAGGTGATCAAAATTTAGTCTGCCTGTTTTATATTCTTTTTCCACAAACTCAAAAAGTCTTTGTGGGTAATGTAGCACTATGGCTATGAAGTGTATCCAATCATGTGGACTAAGTCAATCTCCATGGACCCTTAAACAATTGATAGGCAGAGGTGGAATTCTTTACTTAATTGCATTTTTCTGCTCTTTTCCTCCTGAAATTTTTTTCCCCTCACATAACCGCACAGGAACTTTCTTACCTTAGAAAGTAAACCGTTGGTTCTCTTTTGTAATTAGGCTCTAGGATCATTTCTCTGAACAACACCTTCTGTTGTGTGTATCAGATCTGCTATTAAGAAGCCATGACAGAGTATCTACTCTAGGTATGGTATATTGCCAGGCATTTCCAGGGAATACAGTGGACTCGTGACTGTAGTTCCTCCAGTCAGTGTGCTCCCAACATAGGTAGGAAGACACGGGTGGCTTGCTAGCTGTGGTCATCTCCACATACTCTGTTGTTCTTTTCTGGGCTAGACTATGTGCCCTCTTAGAGAATTTATGACCTCAGAGGCCCACAGAGAACAGCTTGGGAAGACTTTCTGAGCCAGATGAAACCTTAGCTGATTGGAATGATGGAAGAAAAAGAAAAGATGAGTGGGTGTAACAGCTTCACAGAAGAATAGCGAGTAGACGTGCTCATGTATGTGCATGTGTGTTGGGAGAAGGGGCATTAAGAGTACTGGCCTGTGTCCCTGGAATATCATAAGTATCTAGCAAATAGCTGATGAATACGGGCTGATGAATGCTGTACGGTAGCTCTAGAAGATATGTATAGGTTGCTGAAATCCAAACGGATAGTATGTATAGCTATGAGATTGTTTTTATGATTATTTTTTTCTCCCCTAAAAGATAAAAGAGCAAAACAAAAAAGAACCAAACAAACAAAAGCACCACAACAAGATCTCTGAGCAAGTGGCTGGTGGAGATTTCATGCCTGGGGAAGAAGGGACTTAATTTAAATCACTTGTTAGTAACCTTAAGCCTGTAGCAGGCAGGAGGGGAACAATATAGCAGGGAGATAAAACTTACAGAATGTTAATGTGAAGACGGTCATATAGCACTGAAGGTGAAGTAGCCAGTAGAGATGCATACAACCATATGGACTAAACCTTGCTTCTTGCTTCTGTAACCTGCTTGCAAAGGTATATTAGGCAAAGCCCCTTTGTTCTCAGGGCTCAGGTTGGATGGGAATCTGCTGAGACACTGCTGGCATGCTACTAAATATTGCTTCCTGAAAAGCCTTGGTGACCTGATTCCATGCTTGAATATCCCATAATGTTTTGGAGGGGCTCAGTCCGGGATTCGGAGATGGTGTTTTCACTGCCTGTTATTGGGACTTGGCATACCCCTCTTGTCAGGAGAGCCGTCCCACCAGGTGCCAGTGGACCTGTTGATCCAACAGAGGGACTCACCCCTCCTGGTGCACTGGAGAGCAAGTCTCGGTTGCACAAAGGAACCTGGAGAAGGCTCAGGAACAAATTGCCCATCAGACTGGTAAGAACCTGGGTTCAAATATTAGGCCTGCCCCTAAATGGCAGAAAGGGAGCTTGATCACCTCTTGAAGTCACCCAAGTGAAACCATGACTCCTGGGCCCTGGGACCAGGTTGGAAACATTTGATGTCTGCCTGTGAATGTGTGTGAATGACAAGTAGCCTGACTACAAAGCAAAAGTGAGTCCTGATCTGTGGGTCTGTGGCAAACTCATATGGTCTAGGGTGAGCCCTAATAGGGCCTTTGGTCTGGGGATTATACGGACTCACTATGGCTAAGAGATGCCTGAATCCCCATGAGGAGAGCAGCTGGAGATGGATGAAGCAAGTGAGGACCCTGTGTAGGTGCAGTTCCTGGCTGAGCGACCTTGTCCAGGTCACTGATAAGGAGCATGTATTGTTCTTCCCTGTATGTTGGAGAAGAGGACCCTTTACCTCTTCTTCAGAGCCACTGCCCCTTCATTTCTGTCTTGACATCTGTTAATGGGAGGAAATAGGTGGGAATCAGAGTAAAAACACTCCCTTGGAATGTATGATTAAATACTTTAAAAAGGGATTTAATGAAGACTATGGAGTTAACTCCTAACAAGCTCAAGGCCCTTTGTGAAGTAGATTGGCCTGCTTTTGGTGTACGGCGGCCCCTGGAAGGGTCACTAGACAAAACTGAGGTTAATGAAGTTTATAGGGTAATTGTAGGGAATCCTGGCCACCCAGATTAGTTTCCTTATACTGATTGCTGGCAGGATGCTTTCCTCAGCTGGCTCACCCTGGAAGAGGCCTGTAGGATTATGGTAGCTAGGGTAGCCACAACTTCCAAGTGTAGGGAGAAAAACAAGGCGCCTATACTGGTCGAGGAGCCTGAGGAGACACCACTGCCCTATGTGCCACTTCATCCACCTCTGCCACCAGTGCCCAGTTCTGCACCCTTGCCTTCAACATTGGATGGGAAAGCCCGAGGGACAGTCATACCTGTAAAATCTGGCCCAGAAACCCCTGGGGGCTCAACTCCCTTGACCTCCCTGAGTCCTACGGACCCCATGCCCAATCCAAGTCTGCCGGTTCTCACCCCACATTCCCCATTCAATCAGGGCATCCAACCAGTCACCGTGAGGACCCCTCCTCTCCCCAGACTCCCACTGCCCTGCAGGTGCCCCTAAGGGAAGCCAAAGGCCCAGTGTGTTATGATCAGGATGGTCAAATATAAGAAGGAGGGCAGACATTTGTCTACCTGCCCTATATCACCACAGACCTCCTAAACTGGAAACATCATACCTTCTCCTTTACCTCAAAACCTTGATTTGATGCAGTCTATCATCCAGACTCATAAACCCACCTAGA